ACTGACCCAGGATCTCTCCCAACGTCTCGCTAATGATCTCATTATAACCAATACGTTTTTCGAGCACAAACAAATACATCAAACTTCCTGGATGCATCCTGCAACTAAGAGGTGGCATATGATTGACTACGCATTAGTTAATAGAAAATATAGATCTAGTGTCGAAGATGTGCGAATGTTACGAAAAGCAGCTGGCACGATTGGAACTGATCATCATCTGATGCGTGTTAAAATCAAATTTCATCTAATAAGTCGCAGGAAAATGAACAATGTGAAGAAAACAAAGTACGACCCGACGAAGATGAAAGATAACAACACACTGAAACAGTTCCAGTTGGACATTAACTCGACGTTGGGAGAGATCCTGGGTCAGTCAATCAGTGCTGAAGAAAAGTATTTGTCGTTCGTGGAACTTTTGAAAATGCTGAAAAGCATTTCAAATTGGATAAGAACTCCAACAAGAAACCAAAAGAATGGCTCACTGATGAGATTTTACAGCTTATAGACAAGAAAGCGTTAGCATTTGTCGATTGGCAAAATTCACGTGGAACACCGGCGGAGACAACACACAAGAACAAATATAGACGTCTGCGTAAAGTGGTAAAGACGAAAACTGACCAACGTCAAACTGAATATTGGAACGAGGTATGCGAAGAGATCGAAGGTACGATTAAGCTAAACGATCCTGTTGCCGCCTTTGCTATTATAAGAAGATTAAGAGGAGGCAATAAACGAGTGGAAAACATGCCAATTAAAGATAAAAATGGAGCCCTGCTCGTCAACTCTACTGATCGACTACAACGGTGGAGAGAATATTTTGCTGAACTTCTCAACGTACCATCAGCAGTAGACCAGGTCCTTACTGATAGCATCCCTGAGTCCCAGCTAACTCGAAGTGAAGAAAAAAGACAGAGTGCTGTCCCAACAATACAAGAAGTGGAAACGGCACTAAAACAAATGAAGTCACGAAAAGCACCTGGAGACGATGGAGTTACTGCGGATCTTTTAAAGGCTGGAGGTGCACCTGTTGTAAGATGGCTTTATGAAATCTTCACAGATGTCTGGAAAAATGAAGAAATGGTTGAGGAGTGGACGTTAGCTATTTTAATTCGACTCTACAAAAACAAAGGCGAGAAACAAGTTTGTGACAACTATAGAGGCATATCGTTGCTAAACGTAATTGGTAAGATCTTTTCTCGTGTTATCTTGAACCGTATTCAGAATGTGATTGATAGTCAGTTATTAGAGGCACAATCTGGTTTCCGATCACATCGACGATTGACCAAATTTTTATTTTGAAGATGACGATGGAAAAACGGAGAGAATACAACAAGCCTCTGTTTATGTGTTTCATTGATATAACGAAGGCGTATGATTCTGTTAATCGTGGTCTACTCTGGAAAGTGTGCCGAAGTTATGGTGTATCACAAAAACTCGTTAACTTGTTAAAGTTGCTCTACCAGAACTCAAGGGCAAAAGTACGGATAGATGGAGAATTGTCGGACGAGTTTGCAATAGACTCTGGTGTCTTGCAGGGGGGTATACCGTCTCCAACTTTGTTTAATGTGCTGTTCGATTTTATAATCCGACGGGTGGAGGAAGAGGCAGGCATTGAAGGTGTAAAGTTCTCCCATGGAAGCAATGATTTCTTTCATGGGGATAAGGAGAAGTACGTGGACTTCTACATATTGATCTTGTTGTATGCGGATGATCTGGTTGTCATGTGTGAAAACGCCAATGATCTGGAGAAGTTTATTAGGACGTTTGATAAGGTGACTCAAGAATTTGGACTAACAATGAGTGTCAAGAAGACCTGCATTATGACACTGCAAAAATTCCAGGAAGATCAAACTCGAATGGTGTTGAGAAACCAAGAAGTGATTTTTCCTGATATAGTTCTCAACATCCGAAACCAGAATATTGAAACCGTTGACTCATTTGTATATCTGGGATATAACCTAACTAGAGATCAAAAGCCGGATAGAGAGACTCAGAAACTTTTCTGAGTACACAGATTTATAGAGCAAACTTTTCTGATCAAAACACGACCTCGCACAGCTCTTTGTGACCTAGCATCAGTTACAAGCATTTTCCTAGAAGTCCTAAAATTGAGTATTTCAT